TTGCCAGTGACCATGAGCAAGCCTCCCAGCTGCTGTTTGCAGGGGCAGCAGTGAACACCGCTGACTTGATTATTGCACGTGGAGGGGCCGTCACTGCTGTGAGATGACAAAGCGATCCTCGGCTGAGACATTTACATATGAGCAGACTGAACACTATCCTTTCTCCTAGATGTCATAAACTCAAATCTAAGTCCTCAAAGGGTTTCAGCAGCTTCCGTGAACAATCCAGGATGCCCAAGACCTGCGCTGCCTTCTCAAGGTCAAACACCGGGGGCTCTGCAAAGCTAAAGGGCATTCCTGCATCAGCTCTCTGGGCCCCCTACTCCCGCAGGAGAGGCTGCTTTCCCTGTGTGCCTCACTGAGTAACTGGGTCAAGCCAGCAGAAGGCACAGGGAGAGAGAGGGGCAGGAAGGAAACCCCAAAGACAGTGAACTCGCTTCTGCAGCTCTGCAGTGTCCAGATCAGGTCCAGGGCTTGGCTGTGGCTCGAGCGAAAGTGGAACAGGAGAAGCCTCGTGGGAGGGCAGGGACACCTAGCAGCCGAGGGACAGGCACGGGGAGGGTGGCTCACAGAGCAGAGGCAGGAACCCGAAAGTCTCAGTCTGACCATCAGGGACGTGGAATGTGCTGAAGGGCTCTGGAACCCCCGCGCTGACACTTAATGAGCGGGTAGCCTTGCAAGTCCCCTATCTTCTTGTGCCTCAGTTTCCTCTTCTGTAAAGTGAGAACCCACTGACAGTGCTAAAACTGGGGGGCTACGACCCACCTACAGAGCTTCTCACATAAAGATCCTGGGGCATCTGAAGCAGACAATGGGAGGGAATTTACCAGACTGAAAATGCAGGAGCAGAAAGGGGCAGGTGCTCTGGGTACCTGTCTTGCTCCCTGGGGAGCGGGGATGAAGCCATTTAAGGCAGCTGATGCTCTGCACACATTGTGAAGGAAAATTTTACATACATCAAATGCTCTGAGGCATTTCCATGTGAAACCAGGGGTGTCCAGCCTCAGCACAGGGACAACAGTGAACATGTCCACTCTTGTGCACAGAGGATGCGTAACATCCACTCCGTGGTGCCCAGCTGGGAGCCTCTCTGGACCAGCTTTTCTACGTTGGGCACTTTGGTCAGTGAAGGCTAAACCTTCCCTGCAGGATTCCACTTGGCTTCCAGAGGGCCAACCCCACTTTCCAAAGTCTCCCCAGGATAGCTGCCAACCTCCAAAGCTGCCCACCTGGGAAAATACCACCATGTGTTCCAGCAGGTATAAACAGCACTGGGCATAATCCACAGGGAAGAGAGCCCGGATTTGCTCTGTCTTGCCACCCAACCGAGGACTGCATCAGAGACTTGTGCCTCCAGCATCGCTGGAGACTGCACCTCAGTGCCTCCCTCTCCGGCAACCCCCAGCAGGAAGGAGCACAGAGGCAGCCTCTTCTGTAGAGCACCCAGAGGATGGCGTCTGTGCACCCCAAATGAGGTCAGCGTCTCCACAGGCACCACAAAACAGTCAACAAACATAGGGCAACCAAAACTCTGTGGGCACACTCAGGCCACGAGGACACCGGCACACAGATGCTCCACACCCCAGGATTGCAGAAGCCAGACAGGGCGTGGGCATTTCTCAGAATCACATCAGAGATAAATTGTGTGCATTTCAGTGCTGCAATGTGCTGAGATCATTTAGAATATGGATCAGCAAGCTTTTCTGCAAAAGGCCAGCCAGTAAACATTTTCAGCTTAGCAGACCACGGAGTCTCTATCCCAACTACTCAACTCTGTCACAGACAATGTGGAAAGGGATGGGCATGGCTGTGTGCCAGTAAAAATTTATTTACAATTATCTACAAACGGCAACCCGCAGACTGGGAGAAATTATTTCCAAATCACATATCTCATGAGGGATTCGTATCCAGAATATATAAAGAATTCCTACAACTCAACAATAAAAAAAACCCAAACAACCCCATTCAAAAATGGACAAAGGACTTGAACAGACATCATTTCTCAGGAGACATACAAATGGCCAATAAGCACATGAAAAGATGTTCCACGTCAAATATTAGGGAAATGCAAACCCAAACCACAATGAGACACTAATTCATACCCACCGGGATGGCTATTACGAAAAAAACAGAAAACAAGTGTGGGCGAGGACGTGGAGAGACAGGAACCCCGTGCCCTGCTGGAGGGAATGTGGGCAGAACAGCCACTGTGGGAACAGCCGGAGGTTCCTCACAAAATTAAACGTGGAATTACCACATGATCCAGCAATTCCACTTCAAGGTTTACACCCAAAAGAACAGAAAGCAGGGGATCGAGGACATATGTGGAGAGACCCAGGTGCCACCACCAGATGAATGCAGTAGCACAAGGTGGCCCATCCACACACTGGGACATTCCTCGGCCGTCACAAGGAGTGAAGTTCTGACACACTCTACGACAGAGATGCACCTTGAAGACGTCACGCTAAGTGGAATAAACCAGACACAAGAGGACAAATTGCGCGTGATTCCTCTTGTGTGAGGTCCCTACAGTGGCCAGATCCACACACAGAGAGTAGGATGGTGGGCGCCAGGGGCTGGGGGAGAGGAAATGGGGTGCTGGTGTTTAATACATTTGGGGTTTCCTTTTGGGAAGATGGAAAAACTTGAGACAGATGGTGGTGGCGGCTGCACAACAATGTGACTGTACTTAATGCCACTGAACTGTGCACCTAAAAATGGTTAAACAGGTAAGTTTTATGTTATGTGTATTTTGCCACAATAAGAAAACCCAGAATTTTATTTATAGAAACAGACAGTGGGCAGGATTTGGCTGTGGGGCTATGGTTTGCCAACCCTGACTGGGAACACGACACTGAGGGTGGAGAGAATTACTTGCATCGTCGCCCGATCCCCACCCTGGCAAAGTCTACCTGGTGTCTCCCTTCACCACCCAGGAAGACCACCTGGGACAACGGGAGCCCTCTGTGACCTGTGACTAGTCACTAGGGGTGCCTGGTTCCACCCACACTGGAAAACTGATCTGAGACAAGGACGAAGAACACTTCGGGAAAACCACATCCTCCAATCCACCTGATCCTCAATGAGAATTTGCAACTCTAAATTAATTCCGCCCCTCCTAAGTGGAACCCTTCCGCCACTAATTATGTGACATCCCAGCTACCAACTGAATTACCCTGCAAGGGTAATTTTCCATTTTTTTCTGAGTGGCAGCAGGAGGTGTTAGTACAAAAGGTCTGAAACCCAGAATCCATGCAGGTTTATGATGGATAAATGTTTCCACTGTAAAATGACGCTGCGGTCATGGTACAGGGATCTATGTGGCAGATGGAGGCCTTAGAACAGCAGGCATGTGACCCTTTCTCATGAAGATACCCAGAAAGAAGAGGAAAGAAGGGGCTTGGTGCAAACCAGGCTCAGGGAGGCTCCAGTCAATGTGACCCAGCGAGGTCACAGCAGGTTTCCAGATGCAGAAGCAGGTGCCGCACGTGGGCTTTGAGCTCTGCCTCCAGCTGTGTCGCTGAGCAAGGGTAAGTCCCCAGTGCAAGCCTCAGGGAGTCCCAGGCCACCTGGTGTTGGACAGACACACGGTCCTTCCCGGGTGAACAGCAGCACATCTCCCTCCCCCTCTGAGCCTTCTCCTGCCTCCAGAATAAAGGAGTGGGCCACCTTCTACACCAGAGTCACACGCCCTTGGGCACATCCAGGTGACACTTTTCCATAATGCCACAGTACGCAGGTACTGTGTGCCTTGCCTGGCGATTCCCAACAAGGCACAGCATCTAGCACAGTCCAGAGACAAGTGAAAGCGGGTGGAATGCGAAGGCCGGGACAGCAGAGCCCTGTCACCATCTGTACCCCCCAGGAGAATGACTGTCCACGCCCGAGGGAGGAGGGGTCACAGCAGAGGCTAGAGAGAGAGTTCAGAGATGTGGAGGGACACGGGAGAGGCAGAGATGGGCTTGAATGAGGGGAATGGGAGGATCGGAACTGGATTTCCGATAGACCTGGTGAGCTGCGGAGCTGGAGGTGGGAAAACCATAGAGGGCACCCCCAAAGCCGATGGTGGTCCTGGGGCAGCGGCCCCAACATTCTGCTCCAGCCTGCTGTGTTTATAACCCCAGGGCACACATCCTCACAGGGTCGTGGAGGGTGAGCACAGATACACAGTCATTACATAAACACGTAGACGGCATACCACAGTATTAAGATTTCACAGCAGGGGACAATTAGGAAAAAATGTCTGAAACAGCTTCTTAGACAAGCAATAATGAAAAAAGGGTTGAGAACCTGCCCAAGGGGGTCTGGACCATGCACACCTGCCTTTGTGGTCCTTGGGATGCGAGGCCGTGCCGGGAGGCAGGTCCTGCACCAAAAAGAGCTCAGGCTGCAGCCACCGTCTAACTGCTGAGAGCTGCTTCCTCACCTGAGTAGGTGGTCATTTCACTTTCTTCATGGAGTCGGTCGTGGTAAGGCTCAAGGTTCAGGTGACATTTGGCAAATGCCGATTTTAAGCACTGGAGTGACACCAGTGAAGTGCAGAGAGGTGCTCAACAAAAGGGGCACCGGGCACCAGACAGGACACACACAGGTGGCAGGCTTCCCTGCACCCTTCCGGCACCTGGGCATCGGCAGGTGCACCCTTGGTCCATGCACAAACAGCAGAGGGGTGTGTGAAGCAGCCGCACTGACCAAGTCTGGCGTGACATGGCAGCTGGGACAAGTCAGAGCACAGACGAGATGCCAGAGCTGGGCCTCAAGCCACAGTCCCTTTAAGTCCCTTCAAGGTCACATTAGCTGGGCACCAAAGAGCAGATTTGTTTCCCTGGCACCAAGGACAACGCCATCCACACTCTTCCCACCCAAACACAGCACAGAGGGCCGGACCACAGGGAAGACAGTCCTCTGGCCATAGTGTAAAGGCAGTGAGGTAGACCAAGCCCGGACAACGGCCACTGGCTTGTGGGGAACGAGGACAAAGAGCAAACGCTCTCACTCACCAGAGGTGCTGCAGACCAAGCCCCACAGAAAGGGTTCCGAGAATAGACACTGTCAGTGCTCTGGCCGGCCAAGGCAGGGAGCTGGGAGAGACTTGCAGACCTGTGAAGAGACAGTGAGACCAGGGCAGGGTCAGACAGAGGCTGTCGAGAGGCTCCTGTTAAACTTCATGTAGATCCTGTTTTTCCCGAGCTAAAAATCAGGCAGAACAGGGAACACTGCTCTGCACATCGGCAGAGGCGGCACATGTACTTTTCCCCATTCCTCACACAAATACGGCAGGACACCCAGGAAGTTGTATAGAAAACAACGTAAGATTCAGAGGTGGAGAGAAGGACGCAGACCAGCCAGGGACGCGCTGTGAGTTCTGCAGGGTTTCTCCCTGCCTCACACCTCCCAGACGTGGAAGCTGTCAACCCAGAAACAGCAGCAGGAGCAGGAAAAAACCACAACCAAAGTTCACCGTCTTTAGTCAAAGGTCCAGGAGAGTGGCAGGTTAACAGGACAATACAGTGAGACAAGAACTGCTCTACTCCAGCCAGACACCACAAAAAGAAACACACAAAAAACTGGTCCCACCCCACCCACAGCAGCAAAGGCTGAGTGGGAAGCCGAGATGTCCACCTTGTGTGGCTGTAACCAGGCACCCCAATCCCCCACCAGGGCAGTGTCAAATTAGCCAAAGTAGACAGCTGGGACATTCTCCCCACCAGGCAGTAACAAATCCTCCCTCTGCCCCACGGCGTTAGCCACAGCAGCAAAGGCTGAGTGGGAAGCCGAGATGTCCACCTTGTGTGGCTGTAACCAGGCACTCCAATCCCCCACCAGGGCAGTGTCAAATTAGCCAAAGTAGACAGCTGGGACATTCTCCCCAGCAGGCAGTAACAAATCCTCCCTCTGCCCCACGGCGTTAGTGCAAGCTACATGGGGAGCTCGGCTTTCCACAGCACCTGCTAGTGACAGGTACCCTTTCCTCACTCCACTGGACTGGTGTCACAAGAGGGCTAGTGGAGAGTTGGGACTTCACCACTGCCCGGTGATAATGAGGCCACCCCCATGCCCACCTGCAGTAGCAAGGGGCCTCCCCACGAGGTGTCAATGGAGGCCAGCTGGGGACCTGGACTTCTGCTTTCACCTGGCAGTAACAAGGTGGCACCTTGTCCCACCTCCCTTGTTGGAGCAGTACCAGAAAAAGCCAGCTAAAACAGAGGCTTAAATAAGACTCAGAGTCTCAGAACATAACGCAGAAATGTCAATGTTTCAATGGAAAATGGCTCATCATGCCAAGAATCAGGAAGATCTCAAGCTGAAAAAAAAAAACAATCAATGACCAGCATGGAGGTGACAGAGATGTGAGAGTGACCTGACAAGGAGTGTAAAGCACCCATGATAAAAATGCTTCCATGAGCAATTACGCACAGGCTGGAAACAGAAGAAAACGCGGAAAGCCTCACCAAAGAGACAGAAAATCTCAGCAAAGAAATCAAAGATAGAAGAACCAAATGGAAATATTAGAACTGAAAAATACAACAACCAAAATAAAAAGCTCAGGGGTTGGACTCAACAGCAGAATGGAGGAGGCAGATAAAACAATCAGTGAACTGGAAAACTGAAGGATACACTGAAATTCCCCAAACTGAACAAAAGAGAGAAACAGAACAAAAATAAATCAATAAACAGAGCCTCAGGGAGCTGTGAGTGAGACTGTGACAAAATACCTAAATTTTGACTGACTGGAATTCCCAAGAGAGATGGGTGGGGAGGTCTGAAAAAGCACTTAAAACTTCCTAGATTTGGTAAGAGACATGAACCTACAGATTAAAGAAGCGGAATGAACCCCAATCAGGATAAACCCAAGAAAACTCACAAGATGCATCATGATTAAACTTTTAAATACTAATAACAAAAAAAAAAAAAATTCACATGATCATATCAATTGATGCAGGAAAAGCATTTAACGAATTTCGATTTTGAAATTTATGACATATGAAATAGAATTTTGAATATATGACAAAAACTCTTTCAAAAACAAAATGGTAATTTCCTTAACTTGATAAAGAGCATCTACAAAAAAACCATCAGCTAACATTATACTCAATAGTGAAAGACTAAATGCTTTCCCCCTACAATCAGGAACAAGGTAAAGATGTCACTAGCACTACTCTGATTCAACCCAGTGCTAGATGTTCCAGCAAGGGCGGTGAGGCAAAAAAAAAAAAAAAAAAAAAAAAAAAAAGAAAGAAAGAAAGAAAAGAAAAAAGGAAATTAAAAGCATACAAACTGGAAAAGAATAAATAAAACTGTCTCTATTTGCACATGGCATGATTACAGAAAATCACAAGGAATCTACAAAAAAAAAACCCTAGAAATAATAAATGAGTTTAGAAAGGTCATAAGATACAAGACCAACATATAAAAATCAATTGTATTCCAATATAGTAGCAATGAACAAGTGGACACAAAAATTAAAAATAGAATACCATAATTGCTCGAAAGAATGAAATACTTAGGTGTCAATCTAACTAACAGATCTGCAATGTAACCAGCGCCACTTTAGACAAGCCCAAGTACAAAGTGGCACCGCCCACCTCCTTCCCTCCCCCTTCCCTTTAGGAGAAACCTCCTGACTTAAACAGAAACCCCTTTGCTTCTGCAAGGACACAGTTCTCCTCCCTGATCCACATTAGCATAATGACCCTCCTTGATGGTATCAGCCAGCCCTTGGCACCCTATATAAGCTCTTCCACCCCCATGCCTGGTGCTGTCCACCATTTTCAGGGCAGCCCTGAGCTGCCTGCCACTCTGAGCACAGCCCGGCAGATTTCTTTCTTTAATAAAGCTTGAATGGTAACCAGCATCTCAGCTCACTCTCTTTCACTAAATAAATGGAGAGACATGCCCCTGTTCATGATTGGAAGACCCAACATAAACAGGATGTTGAGTCTTCCCAAATTGATATACAGGATGAATGCAATGCCAGCCAAAATCCCAACAGAATTTTTTTGTAGATAGAGACAAGATTAATCTAATATTTATGTGAAAAAGCAAAGAAAAAAAAGAGAAAGAGAGAGAGAGAGAAAGAAACCAAGAATAACTAAAATAGTTTGCAAAAGGAAAATAAAGTGTAAGGATTCGGTCTACCTGATTTCAGGATCTACTGTACCTCTACAGTAATCACGGTTGTGTGCGTCTGGTGGAGGGACGGGCACATAGCAATAGAACTTAACAGAAACACACACACACACACACACACAAATATGCCCAGTTGATTTTGGACAGAGTTGCAAAATAATGAACACTCACTAAGTCTCAAGCCTTATACAAAAATTAATTCAAGATGAATCACGAACTTAAATGTAAAACACAAAACTGTAAAATTTTTAGGAAAAAAATAGGAGTAAATCTCCAGGATCTAGGGAGAGGCTACAAGTTCTTAGACTTGATGGCAAAAGCATAACACAGAAACAGAATGAGTGATAAACAGGACCTCATCAGAATTAAAAACTTTTAGTCTGTGAAAGAACCTGTTAAGAGGATAAAAACACAAACCAGAGGATGGGAGAAGTGTTTGCAAACCACATATTTAACAAAGTACGAGTGTCTGAAATATATAAAGAGCTCTCAATACTCAACAATTAAAAAACAAAAACAAAAAAATCCAAATAAAACACAGGCAAAAGACATAGAAACATTTTACAAAAGAAGATATATAGATGGCAGATAAACACACTAAAAAATGTTTAATGTCATTAGCCATTAAGGAAATGCAAATTAAAATGAGATACGACTACACACCTATCAAAACAGCAAAATTAAAGAAGAGTAACATTTTACATGGTAACAATAGTAACAATTGCTGGTGAGAAAAAGGTAAAACTGGATATTCATACATTGCTGATGGGAATGTAAAGGTTTAGCCATTCTGGAAAACAGTGTAGCAGTTTCTTAAAAATTTGAATACGCAACTACCATGTGACTCAGAAACTGTGCTCCTGGGCATTTATCCCGGAAAAATGAAGACTTATGTTCACTCAAAAACCTGTACACTATGTTTATGGCAGCTTTATTTGTAACAGCCAAAAATTGCAAACAACCCAGATGGACCTCAAAAGGTGAATGTGTGTTTAACACACATTGGTACATACGGACCAAGGAATACTACTCAGCAGTGAAAAGGAAGAACTGTCGATACACAGAAAACAACCTGGATGAATCTCTAGAGTTATGCTGAGAGTGAGAGACAAAACCAATCCTAAAAGGTGACTTACTGTATGATTCCATTTCTGCAGAATAATTAAAATGAGAAAATTACAGAAATGGAAAAGAGATTAGTGATTGCCAGGGGCTGAGGAGCCAGCGGGGGTGGGAAGAAGCGTGTATGGCTATAAAAGGGTAGCACCAGGGATCCTTATGTTGATGCCAATGTTGCATTTTGATTGTGTCAATGTCAATTTCCTGGTTGTTATTCTGCAGGACAGTTTCCAAAGACACTACCCCATTGGAGAAAATGGATAAAGGGCAGAGGGGATATCTCTACAGTATTTGTTTCAAGTGCAACTATCTTAAAAATAAAAATGTTAATTACATTTTTTTTTTTTTGTCTTTTTCGTGACCGGTAAGGGGATCGCAACCCTTGGTGTGGTGCCGCCTGCACCACGCTCAGCCAGTGAGCGCACCGGCCATTCCTATATAGGATCCGAACCTGCAGTGCGCCACGGGGCCAGCCCAAAAATGTTAATTACATTCTTTTTTTTTTGTCTTTTTCGTGCCCGGTAAGGGGATCGCAACCCTTGGTGTGGTGCCGCCTGCACCACGCTCAGCCAGTGAGCGCACCGGCCATTCCTATATAGGATCCGAACCTGCAGTGCGCCACGGGGCCAGCCCAAAAATGTTAATTACTTTTAAAAGTACATTGTCGAAGACGAAACAGAACAAAGAGAAATTCCACACAGAAGTACCATATGACCCAGCAATTCCACTCCTAGACATAGGCCTAAAAATAATAAAACACACATCCACACAAAAATGTGCACAGAGTATTCATTGCAGCACTATTCATAAT